ACATGGGGATTAAGATGGAGGCTATGGGGTGGGGGGTGGGTGGGGGGAGTCGTACCGAACGTCCGCCTCGCCTCTAATGGAATGGAGAGAAAAAGTGGAGCGGTTGAGATCATCCGGATATAGAAAAAATAAGCGAGTCAACTCCACTCTGGGTGGGTGAAGGATTTATTTGATGATGTAAGGATTGCAGAGGCGGACCCTGTTTCTCTTCATGTTTCTTTTTGGACTTAAAACCTTTAGATTGATTGCGTAAGATGCCAAATATGGTGAAGTGACGTATCTTTTCAATACAGAGGGTGGTCGCCGGGGCGTGGTATAGATTTAAAGAGATTATAGATTACAATATATTCATTTTCCCTTTTCATGGAGGTAGAGAAAACAGCTATGAGAATGCGTGAAGCAATTGAGATCAATCAGCACATCAAAAACTTATATTTTGAGATACCTATAAATTAAATGTATAAATGCAAGCGTTGCGCGCAAAGAAAAAGATAGTACACCTTTTAGATAGACTTGAATAATGATATTTTGTTTGAATGCGTATCTAGAAAGACTAATAAGATGGGGATGGGGCGAAAGCCTTGGTGATTATTTTTTTGCTTATTTTTTTTCGTTTTTAATGGCTTCATGTCTCTTGTAGCCTTTGCATTTATTATTCTGTTTCTTTTTTGATAACAGGTACACTACCTTTCAAAGATCCCCCTCCCTCCCCGAAAAAAAGGTTTTGCATAACAGGAGGAAAAATCGAAAATGAAAGAGATTTGTTTTTGATTTCTTTTCTTCCCTCAAGCATATTAAGGGGCTAGACTTGCGACCAAGCTCTTGAACTAGTCGAATTCTTTTCTCATTAATCAGTTGGTGCCATAATTGTGCATCCTAATTAACTTACTATATAATTGATAGAGTATGAATTCGAAACGATATCTTAATATGAACAAGGCATTGGCTTCTCGGCTTCTTGATTTCGCTATTTTTGGTAGGAGAAGGGGGAATTCCGCTAGCACATTTAGTTGGTTAGGGTTCTGTTCAAACACATATTTGCATTGTGAAAACTATATTTTAGTTCATGAAATCGATTAGAAATGATTAATCCATTGCTTGCGTGGGATTATGTGGTTCCCAAGAAGAGTGCTTTTTGCTTGGAAGACATGGATGTCGTCACCTGCCGTGAAGCTGCTCCATGCATTAGTAGCAGCGTAGTAGATAGTGTTTTGTACAGCACAAATGGCAATATTGGATTACACCAGCATAGTAATAATGAAGTGGTTTATGCTGAGACGGCTGTAATCCTTAATGGGGCTGGGAATACGATTGAGCCCGAGAACTTCATTCCATCCTCGACCCCAGCTTCGCATCTGCATACTGGATCCCGAATATGTACCATCTTTCTGGATTGTATTGTGGATGGAGAATTTGCCACCTTATCGTCGGTTCCATCGTGCAGGTTAAGCCTGAGGGATGGGACGTACCGTAGTCTAAGTTGTGATGTAATAAACGCAGATGGATCGCTCGTTTTCGACTCTGAATTTACGCGTGTGGTGGATAGCTCGGATCTGAGTGCGTGGAGTGCCCAAATATGCTATAACAATTTCAGAATCAACACACCAACCTCTCTGATGTCGGACTTTGAGGATTACCACTCGGCTCAAACCTTTAAGGGGGGAGATGGTAGCATGGATTGCCTCGACTCACGCGACCATTCTGGTGGTCCTGCAAGTGTATCCAAGTCTTACAAAGTAGAGTTTGTTGCAATTCTGATGGTAGAGCTCGATGAGTGGGAGGTGATCGGGTTGGAGCAGATAGACGAGTTATGGCAGCGCTCGCTAATCTCAAATCAAGTGATTGCTACCACGACCAACGTGCAGTGCGTGGTGACGGATAGCGACATGGTATCCCATCACATTCCTTCACAAATAAAGGTGACAGTGGACGATGACTGCGATGACAGTATGGCATCGCTTTCGATCAACCGCCACGATATGTCATTTGTAAAAGATACGGATCCGCGTCCATTTCCACCATCCACACCCGTGTTCTGTGAAAGTATGCCCATAAACGGCACTCATAGTCATTTAGCTTCCCTCCCTACCTTCGGTCTTTTTAACAGAGGCAAGCGTCGCTTTGTTGTCGAAAAATATTTTTCCTATTTACTCCCTCGGGATAGCCTTCCCACCAGCGTGACAATAACCTTCCAGGCACGTCATAGCGTCAACGTCAAGGGTAACATCAGCCACAGTTTCGCACCTATTTCGGATATGGTGAGGATAAACAAACTATTGTTAGATGAGCTCTGGTCTACCTGCCAGTTGAATCTTGATTTGGAGGAGGAACTGGTTCCAAACCGCACTAAACTCGGTTTGCTATACGCTGCTTTTCGTCTCCATAACATCAGCCAGACTATAAGCAATGGTCTAGGGCTGTCTGGTTGGTCCTGCACTATCAATGATATGGACTCCGATCTTACGCAGTACATTTACTATGGTATATATTATACCCTTGTTGATCCTTGTAGCGCCTTTATCTTACTCAAGTTCTTCTACCGTCTGCTGCCGCAGGCACGTCGCAATGCTTCGGGTACGTTATTCCTCTCCCACGGTGCTTTGTATCCGAGTAAAACGATGAACGGGGGGATCTCAAAGTCCTTCTTCGGCATCTCATCCCCCAAGCGCTACGTGAACTCCGAAATTGGCTACCTCATCCATCTGTACTTCCTTGCGATGGGAAAGATCATGGATAGTGAGCTTGTTATGTTGCTCGAGCTGATGCTGGAGACAGCTCGTGTGTGGCCGCAGCTGGGGAAATGGTCCTACGGGCGCACCGTATTTCGCGTGGATAACTTTTTTGGTATTGACACGTATAATGACTCCTCCCCTGGGAATTTTTATGTCAACTTGTCGGTGCAGCAACACCTGCGACTGGCGGTTCAGCTTTACAAAGAATCGGAGGAATTGCTTGGCGAGAACGTGGTCAAGGCGTTGCTCGAGAAGCTCAATTTAACGCAAGAAGATCTCAAAGAGATGGAGGAGGCCTCGGAGGCGATCAAGATCAAAACCGATCAAAGCGGCGTCTACATGGTACACGACTATTTTGATACGCTTGCGCCATGGAAGGGTGAATGTAAGCATCCGCTGCATCTCAACTACCACCCACTTTCCATCTATCGTCGAAAAGTTGTGAACGTGCCGGACGTGCTTCTTGGCATGTTTATGTACCACGAGCAGTTCGAAACCTACCAATTCGAGCGCAACCTGGCTTATTACTCCCCTCTTTGCACCTTCGACACGCCCGAGTCGCTGGCGTTGGTGGCCATCACACAGTGCCGTGCAAGGGGTAATTTGGCGCGGCCCATCCCACTATTGCGTTCCTTGCTCCACTTGGATCTCGACAACATCATCTTTTCGAACCAGGATGGTCTCCACTTCGGTGCGATGGCGGCCGCGCTTTTATCCCTCATCTTCGGAATTGGCGGGGTGAGCGTGACGGCCCAGGGGCTTCGTCTGAACCCGATCCTACCGGCCTGCACGAGGGGGTACTCCTTCATCGTGCACTGGCGTGGCGCGATCCTTAAGACATCGTTGAATGCGGAGGTGCTAACCTACGAGCTCCTGGCAGGGGATAGCGTGCGGTTTATTCACAGCCCGACGAAGAATCGAATTCACCTGCACACTGGCTTCCGCCGATGCCAGGCGATGGTGCGGTTGACTATTCCGCGTATTAGTCATAACCCGACAGGGGGCCTGGAAGGGGCGGTTTTTCTGCCAGAGTGCTTGTTTGAGAACTTTTACCAGCTGAGCTACCTCGCCTGGTATCGGATTCTCGAGCGTTTCTTTGAGAACTATCGAACCCTGCACCATCGCGACATACCGCCTCTGAGCCCGAGCGAGTTTATCGAAAAGGTGCTGTATCAGTCTGAAGAGAAGGAAATTACTTATATTGGTATCAACAATGTTTTACTTGATCGTGGAATAGTACTCGACCTCGGTGCGCCTAGCGATGCTGAGATTGTAGAGACCGTTTTCGGCCTGGCAAACGCCAAGGTAGCGGAGATGTCGGAGCTTCTCGAGAAGTCATCCCCTCCTCTGAACAGCAACCTTATCCGTCTGATTCAGGGCCTTGCGCAAAATGGCTTGCCTACGTGTGTTGCGACGTACAGCAGATCTCTCCGGAGGCTCATGCAGCAACAATTGGAGCTCTCGAATTGTTTCGTTGCTTACGTTGATGGTGAGGAGGCTCAAGATCAAGGTATCAAAGGGCGACCGCATCTGGATTTGTTTTACTTTGCGGCTAAAAAAATTCATGTGGACCCAAGCCGGTGTATTGTGTTTGCAAGTCACCTGGATCGAGGGTATAACGCTGAGGAAATGGCTAAATTTCGAATGTTCTTGGATGTGGACGATCCATTTGGCAGCAGTCGCGTACCACTTCAGCCGTATCCCACGCTTAGTGAAGCCTACACAGCCAAGTATCAGCGCCAGAACCCCGTGGTGCGTCGGTTGACGCTCAAAAATATCCCCAAAACAATCGATGAGCTGGAGGACTTTATAGATGGAGGCGTTATGGAAGACTCTTTCGAAGCACAACAGCCAGAGATGTCAAAATGAGTTCAAGGAAGTAGACTCTATAATATTTTTTGCGGCCTAAATATTTTATTTGTCTAATCGGATTGTGTTAAAGAATAGTTTATTAAATCATATATCTACCATATTACTTGATGGTTATCCTGGAAAGCCAAAAGTAATCGCAGATTTTCGATTTGCAGATAACTAAATTCACTCCTCGTGTGCATCGTTTATGCTTCATGTCATGTGTTATAAAAAATAAACAAAGTGAGTGTTTAGGAGGGCTGTCGAACAACGTTGAGCATAGATTTTAAATAGTATTATGAATTTATTTTATCAAATCGAAATATTTTTTCGTCTTGCTATTTTGTTTTTGCTCTTAAGACTGCCTTGATAATATCGGTGTTGACAATTCATTGTGCGAAGGAAGAAATCATTTGCAAACGGTTGGAGACCTTAAGGAAACCTTTAGTGTTGATCGTGTGAGTATTTCCTTTTACTCTTTTGATTACTCATCTTTTCGGAATGTTTCTTAAAGGGGTATATTGAAGTTTCCTATTATTTTGTCTTCTGTAGTCTAGCATTACCCACATTCACATACCTCACTCTTCATTTGGCTGACTTTGTAGCGTAATGGGCATTCATACGACTGGGTTGCTGCAGTTGGTCGTCACCCTCTCATTCCTATCCCTCGTCAAACCCTACGTCACCCACCCCCTGGCTACAGTTCCACTCTTAAGCATCTTTCTAGGTCTTGTTCTGCTTTTCGCAATCACGCACGTCTCGCAGGCATTTTTGGCAGATAAAATGATGCAGCTCTACCGATATCGCCGACTTAATTCAAGGGCACACGTTACTTCAATGGATGGCGGAGAGGCCTCGGCGCTGCGATGGTCTAAGGTCTTAATCCCTTCATCGTACGAGGCGTTTTGCCGCGCTAACATCACGGCGAGTACGGTTTACACCTCAGCAATTCTCTGTCTGACAGTTTGTCTTTTCCACCAAACTCGGTGTGCATATCATCTTTACATTAAGCCAATCCTCCGCGATATCGCTCGGATCGACAGGCAGATTTGGGTTGACTTCGAGGACTGGGGGAGTAAGAAGATTCCAAAGCATCAGAGGCCGTGATCAGGCGTGGGGCCAAAGAAAGGGGATGGCTTTTGGGAGGTATATTTTCCTCCTTTCCGTCGTATACATCGGTGGAACGGCACATCACATGGTAGTATACTTTTTTTTTGAGTTAATATCATACGTGTGCTGCCATACGCTAGTACGTCGCGAGGCTGTGTCATGAAGCCAGACGAATCATTCAAGGCCCTTTTGACCCTCTCCCTGCCATGACTTTGCGCTCGATCTACTCGTCGTAGTGAGCTCCCTGCATCGTGCGCGTGGAGGAAAAGTCCACACAAACTTGGCTTCTTATCATCTACTTGATGAATGGAATTCTGAGGTAACGCTGAGCCGTCTGGCCTCGTCAGGAAGTTTAGTGCATTGAAATGGTTAAATATAAGATAGGATTTACTCTTATTGCTCTATTTACACTTTTCTCTTTTGAATACACAATAATGTTGTGTAAGTGTTGATTATGTTTCATTAAGTCTATCTTTTTTTTGGATGCTTTTTTTCTTGGTCATCCTTGAAGCCAAATATGTGTATTGATTTGATTAACACGTTCCAGTGAAGGGAATCTTTCGAAAACTAACGGCAAAATTTATCTGGAAAAATTCTAACTGCATTCTGAAACCATTTCGTTATCTCCTCAAATCAAATGAAAAAAAAAACAGACGTGCCCAATTACAAGAACTTACAAATATAATTTTTCGTGTCTTATTATCGTTGTTATTGTTATTGAGCGAACCTGTGCTATGTAGAGGGTGGGAAAAGGTGATCCAATAAAATATCCCTGTATGAAGTCATTTATTTCAAGCTTCATAGTCTGTATCTTTAGTCCTAAAGTATCCCCGACGTGTGAGATCATCATCTGCCGCCTCCGTACAGTTGGAGCCTGCTCTACGCGTTTCAAGCTGTGGGATAAGGTTCATCAAGCTTCACGTTCATCATTGCGTTCTGTCAACTTCATAACGGCTCGGTATAGTCATAGGTCAAAGGCCTTTCTTCCAGGCTATAGGTTACCCATTTATCCCCCTGGTATTAGTTGTGGATTAGCCTCGAAGGCTTCGAATTGCTATCATATTCACTCTAGTCTACACGCGAAGTCATTTTTGTTGAGTTCTAGCACTCATTCGCAAGCCTTAACAAAATCAGTCCGCCTGTTCAGCAAGCGTTCCAACCCAAGTGCTGCAGCTTTAGGTTCACCATCGGATTTTGAGATACTAGACAAAGTGTTTGGTTCTAAGGGATCGAAAATGACCAATAACCAATCCGCGAAGAGGACAAGTGCTCACAACAAGAGCGCCATGGACGCGAAATCCATCTCGAAAAATGGTGGGAGTAGGAGTGGTCAAGCGCCTACGGAAAATAGTAAGAGGATGAAGTCAGGAGTTGCACGACTGTCTAAGGATCCCAACACAGTTGTTGCGCTACACCCGCAAAATAACCCTCTTCTAACGCTGGATATATGCCTGCGTAAAGCAGATGCACCAACTGGGCTGCTAACGAAGAGTATGGCTCGGGATCAAAATGAAGCGGCTAGCAAAGTGTTAGACCGCATCCGTATGCTTTATGCCCCTGAAAGAGCTAAGGGGTCTAAAGGCCGGCGACTTCAGCGAGAGGATATCCTGAATGATTGTCCAAAGATCACCGTAATGGGGATTGAGCTGTCAAGTGAGCTTTCCGAGTCACCTTCATTCCCAATCCAAGGCCAGGAGGCAAAATCTGATTTGGAAAATAACGTATCCTGCGATACTTTGGTAGAGTTAGACACTGAACTTCCAAACCACATCTTCTGGAGGCATGCCCGTCATATTAAGCTAGGTGGGGAAGAGCTGACGATTAAGTACAACATCCCCACAATCACATCTATAGAGGTGCCTAATAAGTGTTTGGTAGGGTTACCCCTGATGTGTACCAATATTGAGGCAGTGTTCGTACAAAATGAAGAATTGCATTATGAGTGGTGTATATGTGAGCCAGATGTGCAAAATCACCAAGACATTCTTTTGAAGAAAGCTTCTGAAAAGGATTCAGATCATGTTCGTGTGTTGTCTACTGAGCCTGTCTTTATCCCTACTGAGGATCTCATCGGTAAACGCATCCTCTTACGGGTGAGTCCCAACAAAAGTGGTCTTTGGACTCAAGTGGAGATTTCGCCAGTCCAGGAACCACCCCCTGCGATGGCGCGTTGGAAGCAGACAACAGAGTATATAACATCCCCAGCCTTTCGCGTTGTGACCTACAATATTCTCCATGACGACTTCTGTACGTCCAAGTACTCCAAAACACGCATTTACCCTTTCGCGTCGGAAGAAGTACTTGATATCGAAAATCGGATGGTACGCATCTTGCAGGAACTGTTGATGTACCACTCCGACTTGATCTGCCTACAGGAATGTGGCCAGCGGCTTTTCAAACGTTTCCTAGAGCCCGCGATGGGGGCGTGTGGCTATGGCGCCTATTATAAAAATAAGATTGGGAACGCGCAGGAAGGGTGTGTCCTATTCTATCGAAAAGCCCGCTTCGAGCTGGTGGAGCCGGAGACGTTTGCGCTCAACTGGGACACGCTGGGGCGGGACCACCCCGAGCTGGCCTCTCGACTCGACGCCCATGCGGAGCTCAAAGAGGCCCTCCAACGGGTCACTTCCATTGGGGTGGTCCTCTTGTTAAGGGAGATCGCGACGGGACAGGAGGTGGTGTTGGGCAGCACGCATCTTTTCTACCACGCCAACGCGTGTCACATTCGCATCTTACAGGCCTATATGCTGCTCCATCGGCTTTATCAGATGGCGACGGCGGGAATCAAGGAGGCAGAGCTTGCCGAGGGGCGGGGCCGCCGCCGGTCGGTGGTGCTCTGCGGGGACTTCAACTTCACGCACTGCACGGGCGCCTACCGCCTCGTGACGACAGGCCAGGTGGAGGCCACTCATCACTCGTGGGAGAAGGGGCGACTGTTTTGGTGGGGCTGCGACCGACAGCTAGGCTGCAGTGAGGAGGAGCTGCTCGCGTTGAACCCCAACACACCAGCCGCCGCCGTCGACGCAGGGGACCGGACGGATGCTCAGAGTGGTCCCGAAAAGGTGGCGCCCGCAGAAGACAACTCCCAGGAGAAAGGTGAAGCGAGTAAACCATCAGGCGCTGCCAAATCACCGCTCGAGGTGTTTTTTAAAGATGATCTTCACACCCCATTGGCGCTGATAGACGCCTATGACCGAACAGACCCCGCGATGCAATGGACGAATTACACCCTCACTTTTCGTGAAGTCATTGACTACGTTTTCTTCTCTTCCGACAGTATTGATGTGCTACAGACAGTACCTATCCCGCCAGAGTTTGAGCTATCTGAAAATCATGCATTGCCGAATGCCAAATACCCATCTGATCATTTGGCGCTCATTGCTGATTTGATTCTAAAACAGTTATAATAAAAAGGCACTCTGATGAAAGGAATTCCTCTAAGCACTTACTCATGTGCTGCTTTCGTCAGGACTTTTTATGCGTTTACTTGTTGGCTAAGTACATGCGGGGTAGGTTTCTTTTTTTTTTCGGGGGGGGTAGAGGGGGATATTTTACATCTAATAAGGTCCTATGCAAGGAATTATTCAGATACATCTTTGAGTGGGGAAGGAACAAGCAAAGTGGTACTAATACTTTACAATGCTAGAAGGCGTAAGATAGGGTAGAGGGTAAGAGTGAGGCATATAATGCTACAAGAAAAATCACACAAAAGCTCATGAGGCTTTTCTATGTTTTTAAACAAGGTGCACTGGTTATTCTTCCTTTTATTATCTGAAGATTTCACATGTTACTTTTACGTCGTTAACTTTTTGCCAGTTTACGTTAGTCAAGTTTCTTTATTTTGAAACGCGGCTATTATGTTTTCCCTCGTGTTATTTCTAGTAAGACCTTGCTCTCTACCTTCCTAAGAAGGGAGTCTCGTTCAAAAATAAATATTTTCCTTGGAATCCCTTTGTCACGCATTTCTTTATTTTTTCATATCCTTCAAGAGGAAATGTGGAGGCAAAATTCACGTCACGTGAGAAGTGCTACTAAGCCCAAGTAAGCTGTAAACGTATAAATTCCACCCTGTAGGTCGTTGGTCAGTAAAATGACATTCATCGTTAAATTGTCTATTGGAGCCTTGAATAGAGGATTTTAGGCAACGATAATGTCAAGGAGTTGACATGAAATGTAGTCTATCATAATTAAGACTTTAATCTTTCCTAATAAGGTATGAGGAGATCCTATGCAGTGTATTATTTTTTACTCTTTCTATTTTCATGCTCCCCAAAATAGAACATTACCAACTAAGCGCAACAAGGATCACACAGACTTTAAAATGGTACACCATTTTAGAATGTATACGTTGAACGTGTGGTAAAAAATATATTTATTTGTAATTCCGCCTGATACTTTGGTGTTGGCTTCGTTTATAAAAATACATCATAGACTATTTATTCACTGAATAGAACTCACTTCGTGTGCTGATACATGGATCTCTTCAAGCGGGCATCGTTCCGCCATGGTGAGGGCACTATTGATACGTGGAATGACGTCCCCGCGGTGCGATCAGATAGGCCGATCTCGACATCTCACTTAGCCGCGCCGCCTGTCCAAAAAAAGGAGGCACTGGAAAGTTTTCAGTTAGAACCTGATGATCCAAATAAGATGAGACAAACACGAAATCACTACCGATGCTACCCGGACGTTCCATATTATGGCCTTCTGGAAGGTATTGATGTGCAAATTGATATTAATAGCGCCGCAACTTCGTCTCTCACGGATTCCTCGTCGCTTAACCTATCTGGCGTTGCTACGTACATTTCAGAGCTGAACGGAGCCTTGTGTGATGTTGTGAATCGTTATGGGAGTTTTTTCTACATTGGGAATTCTATGCTCCCTCTAGATGATGTTCCACCAGCGAATGCGACGATTCCCAGTACTGCCGCGAAGTCCTCTTCGGCCGCCGCGGGGGCTGTCGCCGGCTCCTCTTCGGGCTCTTCTGTTGTCTACGAAGTCTACCTGCACGCCCTCATAGAGCTCTTCCAGACTATGTCGCAAATTCGCAACCGTTGCTGTGCCTCGAATTTAGCCCCCACCTCGGGGCTTGATGGAGGCCCTGGCGAGGCGCCGCTGGCGTGCGAGCCGCGTGGTGGCGTCCTCCACACCCATCACGTCGTCTACGCCCGCCTCAGCGGCCATCCCACCTTGAAGGATCTCAGCCTCATGCTCGCGATCGAGAGGGGCCGCATGGTGCTCTTCGTGAGCTCGTCCTCGCGCGTCACCCAGGCCTACCTGTCGGAGCAGGCCGAAGTGGTGCAGTTGAAGCTCCGATGGGTCTCCGGGGCGGCTCTGGTCTGGGAGCCGGATCGGTTGCATTCAAGTGAAGTCAACCCCGTGTTGGCGCTCTGGGATGTGCTCATGAATGCGCCCTTGACGGGCCCGGTGGACGCAACGGACCCCACTCTTGCCGGGTCCGAGAAGGCCGTGCAGGAGGTCCTTTTCCATCAGATGGCCGTGGCGTCGCGCGTACTGGAGGGGTTTGGATGGATCGTCCTCTCCTCCCTGTCCTTTTCGGGCGCCCGGCAGGGCAAAGCGACCCTGCGGCTTCAGGACCCTTCCGTGCTGCGAGGCACCCGCGATCGCGACGCCCCGGGCGATGAGATCATCGGCCACCGATATGTCTGGCGGCTTGTCGGCCCGTTCCGAAACGTCGTGTTGCCACATCTTCTTACGCATATGTTACAATGCCTTGTCAATTTTGAGTGCGCAGGGCACTATTTACGTAGCTTTATTGTAAGAACGCGAGGGGCGGACCGGGGGGAGAAACCAGAGCATCGAAACCCCAAAAGACGCGCTGGACCTGAGAGCGATGGTGTGGCTGGATTATCCTATATTCGCTCCGAACGCACTGGGCTGACCACACAGCGAGGGCCAAGCTCGCAGTCATGGGTTGGGTTCAGTCGCCTCAGTGGGAACGCCTGGCTAAGCGATGAGGAGCGGCAACAACTGGGTTTGCTTGTAGTGGACGACGATGGGGAGGTTGCACTTGAATGTGAGTTTACGCTAGGGGAGATACGTTACTGCAGGATGACTCCTATGGACAAGTTTTCAAAGGAAAGTGTAATGAAATGGCAGCTCCGAAAGCGACCTCGCTCTCCTCTTCAGTTGAATGGCGATATGGAGGATCATATGTGCTGGTCTTCTCCATCATGTTTCGACTGTGGGGTGCCTGATTTATTTAGCGTAGGAAACCCTGAAGAATGGGGCCCGTATTTTGATTGGAACGTTTGCGTTACCCGTCTGTTAGATTATACAGATAACGAAAGCGATGAGGACGGCTGAAGGAGCTATGTAGTCGCATCCCTTTCCTCCTTAAACAAATCGGCATTAATGGAAAATTAGAAACATGATGCGCACTATAGCTGACCTTGATGGAGCCTTTTAATACTAGACCCATAAGATGCATTTTCACATTTTCTTTTCCCCTCCTTTCAGCTTAATCTTTGCTATTTTCTTCAGCATATATATATATATATATATATATATAGTACTA